AACAACAGATCAGCTCCATGACAGGGAGCAGCGTAAATCTTTGCCAGCCGTCCTCAAGAACCTCCTGGGCACTTTGCGGTGGCTGACATTGGTGGCCACGCGGTTGCTGATTGGCAACTGCAGTTTGTTCCTTTGCCAAGCGGTGCACTTAGTGTGGAGCTTGACCCATGATGGGATGGGTCATCCAGGCCTGGATCACATGATAATCCATCATCAGCCAATCAACCTCTACCGTGGGAAGAACCAATTATTGGTAATCTTGAGTAGATTCACATGCCAGGGTTGTTGGTTGTCATGTCACGTAAACCCAGTCTCTGTGTAGAATTTTCGGCGGGCTGGAAGGACTGCCATGGGAAGGAGGGAAAGAACTTTCTGACCTGCTTTTACACTGCATGACCTCTGGGGGTGCTGTTCTGTAGTGGCTTGTCACAATCACACACATTGGAAAATAACTTTTCGTTCATTTTCAGAAATAATTCCCAATTTCCCTGCTATAAAAAACAACAACAAAGCATCCCTGGGAAAGGGCTTTTAGAAAGCAGATGTCAAACTGGAGTAGAATGTCATTGCCTACATAACCTATGGCCTACCAGGAGTACAAAACCTCAAGTGCATAATAAATACCTTGTATAGAAAAGCTCTTGGAGAGCTGGTCCTCTTTTTCTAGAAAGGGTGTTCTGGCCAAGAGAGTTTAGCCTTTGTTCTAAGACCTAAAGTGCTAATGAAAGTTTAAAACGAAGCTGAAGGTGCATTTATTTTGGCCTCTGTTGTTTATCCTTGAAGAGGAAATACCAAATTTGCTTCAAATTCCACTTTCAGCAGAATATTTAGGGAGGCACAGATCCCACTGTAGAATTTGCATAAGTCGTATCAATGGTCTTTAGGTTTTCCTCCAAATTTGCCAGGCGTTTTCCCCGAAGAGGATATTTCAGATTGCCTTCCTCATTTGCTTTAGGGAAGATTTGGGGACAACCCTGCTCAACACTGCCCATTTATGAGGAAGCTGTTCAGAGAGCTATGAGCAATGGGTCCTCATAAAGATAGAAAATATGCAGTGACAAGTAAGGCTATGTATTATGAGTTCCATATTACCATGATAGAAACTGATGCTGAGCATTCAGGCCTGATCTAAAGACCTCTGATTGCCTCCTGTAATTTGAGGAGTGCTTGGCGTGAGTCCATATTGCTTGCCATCTGGTGCCTCAGCATTGCCTTGTCTCAGAAGGCTGGATATTCCAACAGTTCTCACATGCCCTGTTGTGAACACCAGGCCCCTGTTGGTGAACAATTAATCACATAATTGGTGGCTGCAGCTGAAATAAGTGATCTACAAGCCATGGGAGGAAGTTACCATCTGGCTGCTTGTGATGCACCATGTGGGTAGACCGAGGCCCAAGGAAAAGGATATGTTATGCATGCATTGTCCCACTTTTTCCTTTTTGCTCAGAGCAGCTCCTAAGCCGTTTCCCGGTTGAGGTGAAGTGGGGGGCCTTTTCAGTGGTGGCACCCCATTGGTGTGATGACTTCCCCAAACAGATTCATGTACTGATGTTCTAATGTTTTTGATACCTAGTGAAGACCACAGGCTCTTCAGTCCTTTCATTTGGGGGCAGAGAGAGGTGGGTTCATGCTTTTTAGATCTTGCATAGCTGCTGAACTTTACTTCATTTATATTCTGTTATGACAAGACTGTGATTTCACCCTACTTCAGGAATCAAGAAATGATCCCTTCTACCAAGCAAAATGCAGCCATGTACTGTAACCTGCCAGTATCTAAGGCTCCTCTTTTGAAATTAAGTTTGTGAGGGTGTGTCACACAGAGGTAGGCAGAGTTTTCCCCTGCAGAGGATGGCAGGTTGCATTCCAATGGAACAAAGCTCAGGGAACCAAGGTTCAATTTGGATGCCAGGAAGTACTTCCTGACAGTTAGGCCCCCTAGGGTATGGAATGGGGTTCCACAGAAGGTGGTTGAAGCCCCATTGGTGAGGGTGTTCAAGGATAGGCTAGACATGCACATGGTAGGCATGTCATGAGCGGAGCTGGCTGGAGACAGGGGTCAGATTCTGGCTGGAGCTGGGAGGCCCCTTCTGACCCGCTTTGTTTCTATGTTTCTATTAGGATTTAGTCTTTCTTATTTCTCCTTTTCAAGAAAGCTCCTTATTGCTGCACTGCTTTCTAGAATGACTCTGCTTTTCTTCCTTGAGGCTGCAGGCTGAAAAAGACCTAGCCAAGATCCTGGAGAGCCTTTGTTAGAGCCTAGGCAAGATGGGTCACTAGAACAACATGGCATAAGCTGCTCCTTGTGTTTCTGTCACACTAAATCCTTTGAAAGGCACACCCTGGTCTGCTTGGACTGGCTGAGACTCAACATTGAGAGAAGCACATTTGCAAAGCCAGTGGCATCTCGGTAAACAGGGAAGTGGTCAAGCACAGAGGTTTCAGTCCATACAGAACCATCTGAGAGATGAGTCTGAGACATGGTCCAGGGAAGCAGGCCAGCAGGATCGAGCTGGGGCCCAAAAGTCAGCAGGAGAGAGAATCAGTGACAGAGTATGATTCATGACACAAGGCATTGTTTCATCACAGCCCTCTGGCAAAAGTCCTACTGGTGAGGAGGGCCTTTCTCATAAGGAAGCCTTTAAACTGGATCAGTTCTTGTGCTCTTCTTGTAGGACTTCTACTGGCCTGTTCCTTGAAACATTGACACTCTCAGAGGCAGGCCCAGACTTCCCCGAGTCTCCTGGATTGCTCCTAAGCATTGTCCATGCCTGGGAGCTGTCCCTCCACCCCTGGGGAGTATTTGTCCAGTGTTTGCTGCATGACACACACAACTGAGATAAATGTCACACTCTCTCCATCTCTTCCCTAGTGGCTCTCAAAATGACAGATGCACATGACAAAATTTCCGTTCACTCCCAGAATGCAGACATAGCAATTCCAGGCACCATCATCACAGAACAGCCTTCAGAATCTGGTGTGCTCCAGATGTGCTGGACTACACCCACCATTACTGCCAGCCATGGCTGGATTGGGGAAGGTTATCACATGAACTCAAAGAGGTGATTGGCAAGTTCTGGGAGACGTCTAGACAAGCCAGCCTATAAGTTCCCCCAGTGTGCAGAAGATGGTGATTGAGTCATAGGTATGCTCTGGGCTTCCTTTACACTGGTTAGCCCTACCACCTGTTCACTGAGACCTGAAGAATTTCAGCATCCTCAGATTGCAACAACACCAAAGTGGCTATATCATGTGGCCGGAATCCTCAGAATCTGGCCCTCTATGGACACAGCTGAGCTGGTACCTGGAGCCCCCCCCCCACCTGGAAAACTAAGTCCAAAGGAAGCGGGATATGATGACACTCTCTGTAGCACCCTCTCTCCGTTCTGTTAACTCAGGATCCTCATCTATTGAGGATGAGGCACCAAGATCCTAGATGGCGTGGATATGGCATGTTCCATTGGTTCTAAACCTAGATGAGACTGTTTCCTAAAGAAGCTGCTACATAAAATGCTTTCTAATTATACCCAAGATCCATTGCATGACTTTGGGCAGAGGGCAAGCATAAGGGCAGAGGAGAAGCATAATGTCTGCTGCTCATAAATTCCCTAAGCTGTGCCTTGAGACAACTTGGCATTTCTTCTGTTCATATGGATTAAAACAACTCCTCCACCACACATACCAAAAAGACCCTCCGAGCATCTGTTTACTGCTTTTCCTGTGGCACTGCCATTCTCTAGCAGTGCCAGAAAGATCAGTTCCACACAGGTAGTCCAGTCCAGTTCCTTAATCTTCAGAAAGAGGTGGGTTTTGGAGGGAGGGGGGGTTATTTATTTATTTATTTAAGATATTTTTTTTTAACCTCCTGGATTCTATTGTTTGTTTTTAAACTTTGGGGATTGCAAAGCTCTGCCCCAAGCACATGCTCCATCTCTGATGCTTCAATTGTCACTAGTGATACAAATCAGAAAACCCAAAGCAAAATCTGGCCTGATGATCAAAACCCTCCCAGGGTGATTCTGTCCACAATGTCCATGTTTTCCCATGGCGTTTCTTGTCATTTCTGTGCTTTCTGGTATATACAGGGCTGGAGAACAACCATATTAAAAGAGTTTCTCTGTCTCTTGAAATTTTACTTTCCACCCATCAACACAGCTCATTGAAGAAAAGAGACGTACAGGAGTTGTTTTTAACGTTATTGGTTTTACCACACCAATGTTGTGTACATGTTTGTGTACTTTACATAGCTTGAATATTAAACAATCTAATAGGTCCATCAACCCTATATTTCTCTCTCACACACAGAGAGACAGAGGGAGGGAGGGAGGGAGGGAGTGCGGGAAGCAGGGTGAATAAGCTTATATTGGACAAAACCTGGAAGTTGCCTGTCATTCACAGGAAGTGTACATGGGATTGGCCCTTCTGTTGAAGTGAAAGGGAAAACTCACATGTATTTCTCTTATCTCTCACTTTCAAATTGAAAATAGCCCTATCAGAAATGTTATTTTGAGGGTGAGCAAGACTTCAGGTCCATGTGAATACAAATTCACATCTGTAACCAAATCTTTGGGCACCCATTGATCATTCGCTCAATCTTTTTGTTTGTTCTTTTTTCATTTGCCTGCCTGCCTGCCTGCCTGCCTGCCTGCCTGCCTGCCTGCCTGCCTCCCTCCCTCCCTCCCTCCCTCCCTTCCTTCCTTCCTTCCTTCCTTCCTTCCTTCCAGAAAAGTAGAAAGTCCAGTGGCATCTGAATTTTTCAATGTACAAAGCATCCTATGGGTTCTTCCAATTGCCTGAATATTTTTTACACTGAAAATTCCTTAGCAAACGCACTGAGTTGCATACCAAGCCTTTCAAGCATAGACAACATGGACATTTCTAGAGGAAAGTACCTTTAAATATGCATTGTTTGTGTTACTTAGCTTCCTTTCATGGCAACTGCTGCATGTGTCCCTTGTCTGCTTTGATGCCAACCATGCTGAGCCTTCTTTCCATCCTTCCAGTTGACAACAGACCTGGCCTCCAGTATATTCACCTCCATTGGGTCAGTAACACTGGCTTTGCTACTGATTTTCCTACTGGCCGGCACAGTTTCCATTGTAACTGCCAACAAACGTGCCACCCAAGGGACCTACAGCCCCAGCCGGCAGGAGAAAGAAGGATCACGAGTCGAAATGTGGGACATAGTGCAACCCCCGCCCATGGAAAGGCTGATCTAACAAGAAGTGTTGCCACATCTCTTGGAAACTTGCAGCAGGAATGCTTCTCCTGGACATCTTGGAAGGCTCCTATCCATAGACCTGTGATGGAGTATGTCATTTAACTCAGTAGCTTGGCCAGCCCTGGAGGAATGTTGTCCATAGGGTCGTGATGGGTCGGGCATGACTTCGCGACTAACAACACCGACAACAACAGCTTGGCCAGTCTCCAAAGCACCATGCGCATGTGTAATGTATGAGCATGGGGCTCTTCAATGTGTCCTTTCCCTGTTGCATCTTCTGAAATTGAGATTCCCCCTCTGCCCCCACCCCAAAATGTCTGTGGGGTATGTCTGCACCATTCCCTTTCAGCAGCATGGAAGAACTTTCTGGGTGTGCACAGATGTGTCAGAACTCATTTCTAAAAGCATCAACCACGGAACCGAATGGGTGGCTTGTCTTACTTTCTGGAAATTGGTATTTATTGCACTGGGAATTCTAGTTTTAATATAATCAACTGTAGACTCTTTGGACTTCAATGACTCCTGGGATAGGTGTTAAGTGCCTCCATTTCAAGTACTATTGAAGCCACAATTTTCTTTGGTTTTCGTTTATTCTTCTGGTTGCCACCATCGCTGCATCTGTCACCTTTGTGGAAGACAATGTGGAACACTCACGAAAGTCTATGTAATCTGTCTGCAATTCAGTCATTGCTGGGCATCTGTGTAGATTTCAGAAGTAGAAGGGGTGGGTTTCTCAGCAGTACACTGACTTTAATTCTTTAATCAGGGACTAAATTGATATCACGAGGAAAGGTCTTCATGCAAGAAAATAAACATTTCAGATGGTCAACTTTCTTCCTTTTAGTGTGTTCATTTCTTTTTCTGAGCCACCAAGTTTCCTAAAGCAGGGGTGGGCAATTTTGTGGATTCTTGGGGGGTCACTTTTGCTCCCCCATGCAAGCTGTGACCACTAAATTTACAATGCCTCCCACACGCACGCACCCATTTGATTTGCCATCAAATGCTGATGTTCAAAATTTGGCGGCAAACTGGGGATTATGTCTGTTGTTTGACACAGTGACTTTGGCAACATTCCAGTAAGTGGGGACAGGGGCTGTGTGCCCACCCCTAAAGTATCTAGACTGCTATCCTATTCACTGTCAGTGAGTTCCCCTGAACTTACTCTGGTCTGAGTACAAGATGCACAGGCTTGTGCTATTTCTTCCAAATAACTTGCTGATAGATTCATTATTAAGGTTCTTAAATTGTATACTCCTTTTCTTATGAAGCTCAGAGCTGTAACCAATCAAAATAAAATCTAACCATCAACAATACCATCGTACAATGAACAACCATGTATGGTATGATGAGTTTTCCACCTCAAGAGCTATACCATTCAATGCCACTAAAGACATGCTCCTGAAGAACTCTGAAGAACTGGGTGCCACTAACTAATGAGGGGAGGCCCTGCAAAACTCACCCAGCAATCTATAGGAAGGAGAAGAATACAGCAGCATGGATAAATCAGGATGGGCATCTGCAGCATATTGTCCGACTCCGCTGGAACAGAGGTGTGCTATAAATGCTGAACCCAGCAGGAAGTCACCTCCAGACATCCTTCGGAGGAAGGAATGTTGTGGTGCTTCGAGTCATCCAGGCAGTTGTCCCACCCTGCCTTTATCCAGGCCTTGAAGGCACGTCCAAAGGTGGCCATATTCAGTCCTAGCACTTTCACATTGCTTTGCACACCATGATGAGAAACCCAGCATGGTTCCCGGTTCATCTTCTTTTTTTAAAAAAAATCACAATCTCCTTGACAGATAATCAAATGGTTTCTATGTTACTGTGATTTCCATCCTCCCAGCATCAGCCCTCTCACTGTTGGCATGTATCCCATCAGCCACTGTGCCTGAAATTCATTCCCAAGCTGTATTGTTCCCTGTCTGTGTTGTTTGCCTATTTCTCACTGGTCCACACACAGAGGCTGGATGGATAGAGTGCCCTTGCAGTAGCTGCTCTTTCCAGGGGACTCTGTGGTACTTGCATACCAAGACCATGGAAACCACAGTCCTTGATTCAGAAAACACATAGTGGTATAGAGAAACTATAGCCATGTCGTGGCTTGTAAAGACCAAAGAGACCACGGTAAAATATCATGACTGTGTTCCAAAAACACAGAGAGACCAGCAATGGTAACCACCACCCCCATTTCCAGTCCACATGGTTGTCCAGCAACCGCAGGCTGTGGCCCATACCTCCAACACTACACACACATGCCTGAAACTTATTTTATATTGTTAATTCATTTTATATTTTTAGTGTATTATATTTTAATTGATGTTTTGTGAGCCGCCTTGAGGCTTCGGCGAATGGGGCGGCATAGAAATTTTCTGAATAAATAAATAAAATAAATAAAACAGCTAGTATGTTTTTAGGCTCAAATCAGTCCAACAGTGAATTAAACATTGAAACTCTTTGATGCAATAGAGTTCAACGGGAGTTATAGGAAGGGACTTCCAAACATCAGAGCAATGCCTGAGAAGAAGCGTGACTCATTCCTAATGCTACTAGATTTCATGTGCCTTGAAGAGTCGCTCTTAGTCATCTTAATAATTGGGGGAGGGCCCAGGTTAGGGAAATATGCTTCCCCAAGGTTTAAAAAAAACTTGCATAGACTTCAGATTAACAAATTCTTTAGAGTTCTGAAACTATACAGATGTATAGTATCAATTCCAGATACTAAACAACTTTGGCATTTGCAAGGAATGTGGCATGTACACCTATGTCAATAATCTTCCAGAGGGTAAACTGGTAAGAGAAAGGTTATCAAACTCTCATTTCTAAGTGAACCAGACAGAAAACCAGGCTAGATGAAGATTAATTTAATTCCACTATAGAGTAAGTACCCAGAGTCAGTTTGGAGTAGACACATGGTTTCAAAATTGTCCTGGGTGCAGGGAACAAAAGAGAGGTAAAAAAAAGATCCTCAACTGATGCTGATGCAGATATTGCTTGCCTTTGGTTTCAAGGATTTCTGGAGGAAAGGGTTGAGGGCAAGGTTTAATCCTGGCCTCCCAGTGTGCAAGTAGTCCTGCTCTAAAAACATAACTGCCTACTGGAGTAAGTTAAAAACAAACCTTCAGCAGACCTTCACAATTAATGTAATGAGTTGCTTGACTCAAATAATCCCTTCCAGCCAGAACAAAGTAATGAAGTAAACATCAACAGAAAATATTGCATGAGGCAAGGCCACCCTAAAACATTTTGCTGCCCAAGGCAAACAACCAGACCTTTCGCCCATCCATACTCTACACACAGAAGTCCTCTAGATTGGCAGTTGAAACGAAGCCCACCAACGGTGAACAGACACCCTCTCCCACCTCTGTATGGGAGGGCCCTGCCTAACAATGTAGCTGGAGCTGGTCTAGGAACAAAGAAGGTTCAAAGGGATGGAGCTCCTGGGATCCTTTTTCCTTTGGGAAAGGAGTGGAGGGCACCTGGAGCAGGCTACATAACCTGTAATCCCCAGGCCCCAGTGTGGGCAAAGGAAGCAACCTCTTCTCAGGGCAGGCAAGCATCACCTTTGCTAATACAAAGAAAAACTAAAAACAACATCAATCATGGGGAAACATCAGACCTACTGGGTCAGCCTCCCACATTTTTTTCTTTTTATGTTAACTTTTGAACATATTTAAATCTATACAAAGTCCCGTTTCTCTAACCAATAATAAAAAGAGTCCCAAGTTTAATAGAAGTCAGTATCTTCTTTCTCCTTCAGTGACAAAGTCAATCTGTCCAAAAGTCCAAGATCTTTTTTAGGATCAGTTCATCGGTGGGTGGCTCTTCACTCTTCCAGTGTTGGGCAAATACAATCCTCGCTGCAGTAATTACATGTAAAGTCAAGTACATTTCTTGTTTATAAATATCATCAGGTATAATGCCTAATAAGAAAACTTCAGGTTTAAAAGCTAAAGATATTTGTAACATTTCCTCAAGCCATTTATGTATTTTAATGCAATACTTTTTCGCTTTATCACAAGTCCACCACATATGATAGAAGGTACCCAATTTATGCTTACATTTCCAACATCCATTTGACATATTTGGAAACATCTTGGCTAGTCTATTTGGTGACAAATACCATCTGTTACCATCTAACATTTTATACAGGTTTTCTTTATATGAAGTTACTAATGTTACCTTAATATTTCTCTTCCACAGCTTTTGCCATTTTTCTAAATCAATATTATATCCAAAGTTTTGTGCCCATGTTATCATAGTTTCCTTAACCTGTTCATCTTCCATTCTCCTATCTAGTAAGAAATTATATAGTCTTTTAATCATTTTCTCATCTGATTTAAGCATCACCTGATCAAATGCTGTTAAATCCTTATAAAAGCCCCACATTCTATAGTCTTTAACACATCTTGATTGTATCTGCACCTTATGCCACCACGAGATATTAGATCCTTGTTCTTGTATTTTTTGATTCAATTTTAGTCCTCCATCATTATCCAAAGTGTCATCATATCTTACAATCGCTTCGAAATTCAATGCATTTGGATATACAAGAGCTTCCATAGGTGAAAGCCATCTTGGTAATTTATTATACAGTTTTGTCTTCAACTTTTCCCACACCGACATTAATGATTTCCTAATATAATGACCTAAAAAACAACCATGTGCCTTACACTTTTCATACCACATATAAGCATGCCAACCCATTTGCAAATCATGCCCTTCGAGATACAAGATTCTCTTATTTCTTAAGGTTATCCATTCTTTTAGCCACGTTAAGACAGAAGCTTGATAATGCAGCATCCAATCAGGAAGACCAAAACCCCCATTCTCTTTAGCCTCCTGAAGTATTTTTAGTTTAATCCTTGGTTTCTTTCTCCATATAAATCTCGAGATTTGAGAATTTAAATCATCAAAAAAATTTCTATCAATTTTTATGGGAATCATTTGAAATAGAAACAAAAGCTTTGGTAATATATTCATTTTAACTAGTGATATTCT